TTTATCAAAGACACTAACTGAAAAGTGAAATATATGTACATACCTGTACAATTTTGAGAGTTTTTAAACTAGGGGAATCTCTGAGCACACGTATAAGGACGTTCAACCATTCTGTCTCACATGTGCATATAGTCAAATGTATAAGAGAGCGGAATATACTACCAACAGGATACGCATCCTGCATAATTTAGTTTTGATCATAAGAGAACTCGCTTAGTGACCATATCAATTACTGTTCATTTAAGCCTTCCAAAAGAGAAAACGAATAATGTATACTAAACAACATGTTACCTTCGAGGTTGGTAAGCAGAGAAAAAGACGTTTGGCTGAAGTTAGAGAGCCCAAAAGCTGCTTAGTTTGGGGAGAAAAAATGTCGATACTTGCGGTGATAATCCTACTCATAGTATTCTTAACGACACGAGACCCATACGAATAATCAACTATCTTCAAGTGTTCCAAAGAAGGAGTATCTATCACAAACCCCTCACCAACGTTACCAACTATTAAGTGTCTATACAAGAATAAATGCTTTAGGGAAGGCACTCTAATGCTCAAAATGGAAACATTGTCGTCTTCACATTGCTGCACACTCAAGTATTCAAGAACAGGACAACTGGCTAAAAGCTTGCTGAAAAATTCATCACCTGGGTACGTCACGGATTTAAGAACTAACTTTCTTAGGGATGGGAAAGAAATTGGGGTAGAAACATCCACTAGAACCGCATTAGTTAATTTCAAGGTCGCAAGCATTCTACATCCTCCATTATAAAAGCTCCTTGGAAGCACGACTGGAGTTTCACTATTTGAAGAAGTATCAACTTCGATAATCAGTTGACGCACACAACATTTCTCTGCAGCTCTAATCAGAGTATCTCCACTACCACAGATATGACCAAGTTTGAAATGCAGAGTTTCTATAACTGGAGCCTTGTGCAAAATCAAAGACCTGTCTACAAAGGTCGAAAATCTTTCATAATCAATTTTTGGATAGCTATCATCGTACACAAGCCTTGGCACCATCATCCAAAGATATCGCCACCGTTTTGACAAAACCATTGTTGCCACAACATCTTTAGTATTAGGAAGTAACGACAATATTCCCAAGAGAAGCTCATCATGCAACTGACTTATTCTGTCCATAATTAAGAGCTTTCAGGCATCCGGAGAAATCTGAAACCCTAAAAACATCAAAGTGACGAACAAGGTATATGAGATTCTCAGGAACCAAACAAATAGTCGTAAGCAAGGACGCAAGGTTAAAGCAAAACCCTAGCTAGGTTCGGTATATAAATCCAAACTCACTCCTTCGACATTTTTTAGCTAGCCTAGTTTAATGACTAAACATCCCTAAGCCCAGTCAAGTATTAATCAAGCCCAAATTTAATAATCTAGTACTATAGTACATGAAATAAATTTTAGTTACGTTAAATTTTTGTTTATGGGTAAAGATGACTTGTAGAGAACATTACAGAACAGAACACAGTGTGATTAAATTCTTTTCACATGATCACATCTTCACTGTGTCAACTAGGGTAATTCGATATTTTAGCATCTTTAATTCTAACCCAATCTTCCAGTTCTTAACGTCATAGATCCAAGGGTAAAAAAGCTATTTCCTAACGGCAGAAAGAAGTTTATGTATCCTTTATAATTTCTGAACCAAGATTCCCCAATGCAACCGAATTAAAAGAGTAGTTTCAGTTGGAATAAACTTAAAATATAATTGTTTAAAGCACCAACAGAGAACACCTGTTTGAAGAAGATTAAGTGACTAGTAAACAGCAAACAGTTTTAACCACAAATCTTACTTTTGTCAATAGAAAAAAATGGAGGAGAGACTATTAAATATGTTGTAGCTGATTATGGAAGATAACTTTCATGATTTTTACTTCCCCAAGGCAGAATCACAGATAGAAAACAAAAGGAACTCAAAGATCTAAATATGAAAAAAGAAAAAAAACATACAAAGTTCTTTAGAGCTTCTAACATATCTAAGATTTAGATTACACACACCAACCAATTGTGACTTGACTGTTGAACATGTCTTACCCTCTTAAGGATGACAATAACTTCAGTCGAATGTAAGATGACAAGTACTTGAACACCTTGACAAAAATGACAACTCTTTGAGCATTTCAAGTTTCTTGACAGGATCCTTAGATCTAGAGGAGATAGTTGCTTTCTTTAAACAGCTTGCGCTTCTAAAAATAAACGCTACTACTTCTTTCTCTTCCTCGGTTCCTTTATATTCAACCCATTCCAGAGTTTCAAGACTAGATAACACACATCCGGGAACTGAGTTCGGTTCATTCCAGCAGGGGCGCGGTTTATCTATATTTCCCCGAAAGCCATGGCACTGAGATACAGAAATACAGTGAACCATGTCATCATTACTGGCAAAATAACTTGATCAAAGATAGCTGAATAGTTATGATTAGAACAGACAGTACATGTTTAAATTTGAGGACTTGTAATTTAGGAGAATCTCTGAGCAGACACATAAGTAGTTCCAACCACATTGTCCCACATGTGCATAGTGTCAGATGTACAAGACGGTGGAAGACAGTACCAACAGGATATGCATTCTGCATAACGAAACAAACTCTTTAAAGCAATGTAGTGCCAATAGATTTGGTCACGTTGGTTCCAAAAGGAACATCAAGATGCATGCAGAGTGGTAAAACGCTATAAATATATAGTTAACAAGATATTACCTTTGTGGTTGATAAACATAAATAGAGACGCTTGACTGAAGTAATAGAACCCAAAATTTTCCAACGAATCCCATAACCAATGTTGAGATTTGCATACACAATCTTAGGCATATTATTCATGATGGTACAAAATCCACCGTAACTACGATCAACATCAATGTCAAAGCAATCTAACAAAGGAGCATCTATCACAAATCCACATGCTTTGTCTTCTTCACTGTAGTTAAAGTCTAAGTCTGTTGGTTTACTCAAGGATAAACTCTTCAGAGAAGGTATTTTGACAGTGAGAACCGTCACATTGTCATCAGGACATTGTACTACAACCAAGTCTTCAAGAACCGGACAATTGGATAGAAATTCGTTGACAAATTCCTCACTCGGGTACTTCATGTATACAAGGCTCAAATTTTTTAGAGATGGGAAAGAAGAAGCTGGAAAGGAAGAAGCATCCACAAGAGTCGTGTTACTTAGTTTCAATGTCACAAGCATTCTACATCCCTCGCTATACAAGCTCCACGGAAGTATGACAGAATTTCTAGGACTACGAATCTTAATGTCCAACTCTCGCACACAGCGTTAAACAGCAGTTCTAACCCAAACTCCAATATCTATAGCACTAGGCTTCCAATCAAGTTGGAAACGAAAACATTCTAGAACTGGAGCCTCGTGTAACAACAAAGAACTGTAAACAAAGCGAGAGAATCTCTTTTCTTCATCATGATCTCGATATATGCCATGATCATATTCAAGTCTTGGCACCAACATCCAAAGAAACTTCCATCGTTTTGACAAAACCATTGTGAATACGACTTCTTTTGTAGGCAGTAACGATAATATTCTCAAAAGAAGCTCCTCAGGCAAGTGACTTATCCTATCAATATGAGCCATTCCTTATCAAATCCTATGCTTTCAGTTCCTACAGATTTCTCTGTTAACACCAAAAACTTGAATCTACATAAAAGATAAAATTAGGGTTTTTAGTTGTTTCCTCTTTCAAAGTTCACTTGATTATCATAGGAACCAAACATATCTAGACATTAAGCAGCCGATGATAAAACTAAAAACAGGGGACGCAATTACGCAAACAAACCCTAACAATTACGGAAACCGAAACTCACCGGACAGTACTGCAGAATGGAGCGGATTCGTTTATTAACTAATCGAGTACTTCAGAAGATGTTCACAGAATTGAAAACCCCTTAGAGATACCATTACAGCGATTAATATGGCTAACCAGGCTCTTAAAAAAAAGAGGAAATTATGTATCATAGATTTTGAAGTTATATATAATCAAAACAATATGATTTAAATAAAACTGTTTATATAAATAGATTAGTAATTTGATTAAGAATAAAACAATATGAGTGTTGAAGACACTACCAACAGGACATCCTGCATAACATACGGGAGTTAGTACAGGAGCAATATAGTGCCAACAGATTTTGTCACGAGAGAACTCGCTTTTTGTAGCAATTAGAAACCGTATTAGTTAACAACATATTATTACCTTTGAGGTTGGTAAGCAGAGAAAAAGACGCTTGGCTGAAGTTAGAGAACCCAAAAGCTGCTCAGTATGGGGATAAGAAATGTCGACATTTGCTTTCGCAATCTTACACATATTATTCTCAACGATGCGAAAACCATGCGAGTAATCAACAATGTCCAAGCACTCCAAACAAGGAGCATCTATCACAAACCCATGAGCATCTTTTTTAACTATGCCATCCGATTTATGCAAGAACAAACATTTTAGGGAAGGCATTCTAATGCTTAGAATAGCCACGTTGTCATCTCGACATAGCTCCACAACCAAGTCTTCAAGAACAGGACAACCCGATAAAAGCCTGTTGATAAATTCATCATCTGGGTACTTCATGGATTCAAGACTCAGCTTTTTGAGGGACGGGAAAGAAATTAGACAAGTATCATCCACAAGAACTGCATTTTTTAGTTTCAAGGTCACAAGCATTCTACAGCATGTATACAAGCTCCTCGGAAGTGTGACTGGAGTTTTATTTCTAGAACAAGTATTGATCTCAATAATCAGCTCGCGCACACAACCTTTATCTGCAGCTCTAATCCACATCTGAAGATCTTTACTACCACAGATTTTACCAAGTTTGAAATTCAAAGTTTCTATAACTGGAGCCTCGTTCATAAACAAAGACCTGTCTACAAACCGCGAAAATCTTCTATACTCATATTTTGGTAGTCATATAAGAGCTTTGGCACCATCATCCAAAGTTGCGAAAATTTCTCATAGCTATCTTCGTATACAAGCTTTGGTACAAACATCCAAAGAAACCGCCATCTCTTCGACAAAACCATTGTGGCCACAACATCTTTCGCATGCAGTGAAGACAATATTTTCAAGAGCAACAAATCGGGCAACTGACTTATCCTCTCCATATAATACAAACGAACAGTAGCTGTATCCAACGAGTTTCTTTGGTGATGTGGAAATCAAAACCTAAGAAGAAAAATTAGACAATCGAAATTAAGGAAAGTACCTAATGCAGAGAAAAAAATTAGACAATCGAAACTAAGGAAAGTACCTAATGCAGAGAAGGAAAAAAACTTTTTCCTTGGTTCTTCGAATACTCTGAAACCTCAATTATTGAGGTGAATACCTTAAGTAGGGTTTTTATACCAGTTACAAACTAAACTATAGACAATTTTATATAAGCCCTAAAAACCTTTTAGATACGGGCCTATGTAACAGGATAAACCGGTTAGCCTCTTGGTTTAATACTTAGATTTCTGGTTTAGTTGTCTGGTTCAATAATTTTATCTATCGCTACTATATGCAAGGCATTTAGCCGTTTTGAGAAAGCTAATCAATAAAACAAACAAAACTTCTCTTAATGTCTTTTCTCTGTATCAATGTATCATCGTCACCTTCACTTCCACCATTGAATCTTTGTTCCTCGGGTCATCCTTCTTCCTTTGTGGTCACCCCTAGACTCTGATTCACCCTTTCCTCGATTCCTCGGTGGGTTCTGGATCGGGATTTATCTCGTTTAAACTTTACTGTTTCAGCCTAGGCCCGGGACTTGATGAGGCTGCAATACATACTGTTTTTTAAGATACGCCGTTTATACAAATTCATTAATTTTACCGCATATAAAAAATTGATACAAGTCCAATAACTGACGGTAAAATTGTCTTCATGGTGTTCTCAAAATTGTTAGTGTGGAGTAGAATTCGTAAGAGATAAATTTGGTATGGTGTGATGGGTTGGTGCACGCGCCATGCCAAGGCTTTCTTTAGTACTGGATTATGGTAAAATCACCTTTGAAACCAATTCACTAGAGAACATCACCGGAATATGGCATGTTTTACAATAGGATACCAGAGATCTATCAAAGGACTTTAAGGATTCAATTCTAACCTCGAGATTGCAACGAGGCGGCATATCTAATTCTCCATAACGTTTTAATTGATAAAGTACTGATGTTTTTAATATATACTAGAGAAGTTAAAGTGATGGGAAACTTTGCTACTAATACAGTAATACATAGAGTATATGCATGTTTATATATTTTTCTCCCATCAAAATAACTTTCATTAGATTTCATAAGAAGTTCAAATGTAATGGGCTAATGCATGGTCCTATAGACTGTAGTAGACTAGTATCCCATCAAATCATATATATGAAAGTTGGCCAACTGATCTCTCAATATGAGTGCCACATCATCATACAAGAAAATGACATGTGTCATTCTATATTATTTAAATTAAAAGATTAGTAAAATTTATTGAAGGAAAATCAAAACTCTTTTGTTATTTTAAATCTTTCACTAATATCTCTCTTAATTGATTTTTTTAAAAAAAAAAAAAAATTATACTAATGTATCAAGCACTACTTTCATTCTACTCTTTTTATTTTATTAAATTTTTATATCAATGGTCACTACTTCGTGATGGCTAAAAAAATTACTTGTGTTGTACCTTTAGATGTTTGATACATAAATTCATATTAATTTAGTAATTTTATTTTGAATAATTTTTATTATTACGTTTTGTAAATATGACTTATCATATGACCTTCTCTCTTTTCATTTTTGTCCGTTATGATAAGTTAGTAACATTGACATACAAGTTTTTTCACGTAAGATTCATTTGAGACGTTAGACATACTAATAAATTTAAAACATGAGACTCTCTCTATGGCTATATGTAAAAGGAGAGGTCTAAAGTGTTGACTTAAATTACTAGCATATCATGATATGGTTAGCATACTAGATGACGAGAGAGTACATTGAACAAGTTGCAAACTACATAAGTAACATAACTACATAATATTGTATCAATTTATCATATACTTGTTGTTTTATGTATCCATATAGTGAAAGATTAGGATCGTAGGTATATAAATAATCAGATTTATACATGAAAAATTAGAATTGATATTTCGAGTCAAAGATGAATCTAATCATACAAATTATAACTATATAAAACAGATCTGACTTTATTAAAATGAACATAAAAACAACAAAACCATAATCATATTTATTTCTGCAATTTTTTCAAAACAAAAACCCACGCGTATAAACGCGTAGCGTGGGTATTCATCTAGTACAAGATAAAACTACTCTCTTTTTTGTTTAAAATGTCATCATAATAAACTGTTTCAAATCTCATGAAAAAGTTAAATTTACATTGTAGTATAGAAAATTCTTCTATAATTGTTTAAACGATGAAAAAGGAAACCCAAAGCAAAAACAAAAAGCTATAAGATTTTTTTCTATGAACATGTTTATTTCTCAGTCCAATTTAAGTTCACAAGAACTCGAGCCCATGAACATAGATGCCAAGTCTTCTCGGATGATATGATGATCACAAATCTCTCCTGAAAGCTTGAATTTGGGGGAGATAACCGACTTCTTTAAACAAGTACTATTCTTCAAGATATACACCGCAACATCTCTCTCTTTGAATGTTGCTTTATAGTTTCGCCACTCGAAAATTTCAAGATTTTCAGTCAAACATTGTGGAACATAACTTGGTTGCTGATTCCAAGAACTAGTGCAATACTTGCTAACGAAATCATGGTTCTGAGAAAAACAGGACATAAAACACGGTCAGTAATTAGATCATCAAACCGAAAGGAAAACAAGTAAAAAAATTACAGATCAAGTGATGAGCCAGGAACTGTAAAATTAATTACCTTATCATTAAGCTTGAGCACTCGAAGTTTTGGAGAATCTCGAAGCAATTTCGCGAGTAGATATAACCACTTTGAATCATCACATGTACATAGTTCCAAATGAACAAGCTGAGAGAAGATAATACCCTCAGGATACTGAGCCTGCACATGACACACAAGCTTTTCTAAGCACATGAGAAGAACAATTAACACAATTATAG